CTAACTAGGGAAGGCAGAACCCCTCTCGTGCATGTGACTCCGATTCGGAGGGGCCGTGAACGTCTTACCCAAAGTCGCCTGGGTGGCATAGCCCGCCATCTTGGGACAGCCGTGGATACGCTAGTTTCGGAGCCACGGTTAACTCTGCGCAGCTGTGAGGGGCGAGGGGGAATGGAAGCATGCCGTAAAAAGCATGTGGGATCCCCTCCTGGACATGTCGCTGCATACAAACTTGGGTCGGCGGAGATGCCGTATAATAATTGAGCCCTTGCCCGTAACTTCACATGTACCAGGGCCTTAGCTATTGGCGTAGGTGACACGTAGCAATTGTTGTCAATCAGATTTGTGCGCTTACAGCACTCCTATTTCCTTCTATTGCTTCCTCGTTCTTTTTCGGTCATGTACCTTTTTTGGGATAGATACCTCTATGGGCCTTTTGTCTCTGAAAGATGCCCCTCCTCGCAGAGTGGCTTATGTGTCATCTCGTATGCCTGGCCCAGCGACTTCCCAGCAATACTTAAGTCATATCCCCCCGCCGTTAGGTAGCTATTTCGCCAGAGCTCTATTTCGATTATAATACCCCAAAACGAGACGCGGCCAGGACAAACAACTATAGTTTTCTATAGTTATTTAGAATCTGGGGTACGGAGCTAACCGCTCTCTTGCCTCCTGCCAGCGCTCACATGTCCACTATCGGTACGCACAAAGCCAATATGACCAAGGCAGTCGCCGCATGGGAAGCCGTAAGAGGTAAGATTCCCGCGCATCTTTGCTCCAACCTATAGATGCGAGTATAGGCGACCCAAGGGTCAACGTTTGAAGTGCGCCACGCTTCTTTAGAACATCATTTGGCACAAGTCCGCGCAGCACTCGACGTGCTCAAAGAGCGAAGGTCAGCATTCGTAGCCTTTATAGCAAAATCATCAAAGTCAGATGCTGACAGTAGAGCGCACCATCAATGTCTACAAGAAACTCGCATAGACGAGGCAATCGTCGCAGCTGAATCTGTCGTAGCGTCTCTTTGCGCAGGTTTAGAAGAACTAGAAGCGCTTGCAGAGAGCAGCCCATCCGTAGCTCTCTTTGAGACAGTCGAGGATGCTCCTGTACGAGGTCAAGAACAACTACAGGAGGACCCTACAGCCACGTCTAATGCGGGTCCATCGTATACGCAGCCGCAACAACATCCTAGGGCACCCAACCTCTCGCCGGCATATGCTCCATCGTATTTCGTAGGGCCAGATGTCCCCCTGTTTGGTCCCATGCCAGCGCAGCCAGCTGTACAGCTTGGCAAGCTCGCATTGGAACCATTCACGGGAGACATCACACAATTTCGTAGGTTTTGGTGTGCCTTCGAACTAACGGTGTCACTAATGATTCGCAGCATACATACTCCACCAACATATAAATTTTTGTATTTACAAAGTTTGCTCAAGGGCGATGCCCAAATAGTACTACAGGATCTCGACCCGGAGAATGCAACTACGTGGAGCTGGTGAAGGCTCTTAAGAAGCGGTACGACCGTCCTTATCGGACGCGAGCTACCCTTCACAAGCAGCTTCAGCAGCTTCCCGTAGCTCGAAATACGGGCCCAGATCTTCGTAGTACCTGGTTTCGTGTGTCCGGTATTCTCCATGGATTACGTCGTTATGAAGACTTTAGCAGAGTTCTGCCGATTCTACGCCCTAGTCAAAGAGACCAAATTTTCATAGGCCACAATTGTTAGCAAAAGCTTATGAATCTCAAAAGTAGTTCCAAGGGACCAATTCCGACTTACCGATAAATTTTACGCAGGTTTGGACAAACACTCGACCACAATCATCTCCGCTCCAAGGAGAAAGTACGAAAGATTTCCACACGTTAACTGATAGCTCTTCTGTCCCACATACATCTTTTCCCGCAGTCCAATCGCGCGGCGTTCCTCCTCCTCCGAGCCGTAGTCCGCTACGGCATTCTTCTTCTCCGTACCGCAGTCCATCGCGGCCGTCGTCTTCATCGCAGCGCAGTCCATCGCGCTATCATTCGCCGTCACGGCGTTCGTACGATTCAACGCGTTGTTGTTTCTGCGATCGCCAAATCACAGTTCCACCCGGTGTCATCTCGATGCGTCAGTTGCCGTACGGCGTACCATCGTTCAACTACGTGGACTCTGTTGGAGATGTTTGAAGCATCGTCACTCGTCTCGTTCCTGTCACTATCCCACGTGTCGCGTCTGCAGAGGTGATCATCACGAGATCCTCTGCAGTAAGTCACCATCACACGATCATCATTCCAGGAGAGACTGGCGCAGTGACGAGTCTCGTCACCGTCATCGCTCTCCTGACCGGTATCCGTCGCGCAGTCCATCTCGGGATAGTGGGCGTGATCGTAGTTCGCCTCCTCGTGGCGAGTCCACTTCACATTCGTACGATGGTAGTTCGTCGAGTGAGAACTGAACCCGTTCGAACGTTCGCACGACTAAGGGTAAGGTCAAAACAAGGTCAATTTCGCAACTCTACCCCTTAGAAATACGTGCCAAAACAACATCTTTGGATGCTAAACGTTCTTTACCACCTTCTAGCGTCCAACGCGTACAACCGTCTCGAACGGCTAAATCTCGGCATAAATACATTCGTATCATGTAAAACTAATCGTTTTTCAGCTTTTCAGGCATAATTCCTTCAGCATATACGCTTCGTAGCGTTCAATGCGTGCAAAAGTACAACCCGTCGTTGAGACGCGCCGCACGAGCACGCGACGCGGTCCGCCGCGAAGCGTGTGTTTTGATTACGCAATTGCCATTTTCGTATATGCTGCGTCGCCTCAGTGAAGTCGCTGTTCGTTCAACCTTTAGTAACTTTACCAACTATTATACGACAATATTGCGCTATTTTACGATTGGTTTGCATGCCGAGCTACTATACTGTTTATATCACGACGTATATTTCTTAAATACGAACGCGCTCGTAGGACGATGGATCGGCGATCAAGGGTAGGCGCCTACCTTTCCTTTCTTTCTTAGTTGTTACGTGTGTAACTGCGCTTAGGTAGTTTATATATGTGTTTACTCGCCCGCAGCGTTTTCTCTATTAGTATTTTATTCACTTCCTTTCCGGTTTTTTTTTAGTGTGTGGTATTTTTTCGTAGTTGTAGTTACTAAGTAGTTTTTTCTTTGCCCGCAGCGGTAACAATTTCAAGATGGTGGGCGCGATCGTAGCCAGTGAGTTTCTTTTTTTTGAGCGTCTGCCTTTTCCCCTTTCTGTTTGCTCCTACATACCTTTTTTTCATATACAACACACCTAGTATATACCGAAGGGTTAATTTTTTTCCATATTTTCCTTTTCTTCCTCTGTCTATACTCGCGCTCAACTGCTTTTTCATCCTTAAGTTTACACGCACATGCACATATGATTTCGGCGAGCCCATCTTCTACCTGTTTCCTTAGTCGATTTCCTCTATATGATTACGGGTGCGTAAGACGGACCATACATATTTTTTTTATGCTGCGTAGCTGCTGACCAAAACACATCAAGGCCTAGGCTTGCTTACATCTGTATCGGGTAGTAAATACGCAACATATTTCGTATTCAATAATATCATTTAAACTGTGCTGATAAACTCATTCTAGTTTATCCTAATTCGTAGCACAGATTTATTTCGTACTAGTTTAGCGTAGTACTACACTATCAACTACGCTTAGTAGTAGTATTTCTCATGTTTTCATGTATGTAGGTACCAGCTTCTCTTTTCTTTCTCTATTTAGTATAGTTCATAATTTTTTCCTTCTTGACTTTTTCTTGATCGTAGTCTCTCTTATACTTGAAAGCGACTTATGTCGTGTTACTCACTGTTCAATATTTATCTGCCTTTTTATCACATCCTGGGAATGCCCATTGTAAATCACAAAATCGAGTGACAACTTTGACATGTAGAAAAATATAGAGCGATATTCTTGTCATAGTCCATTTTATACTTGTTGTAGGCTGTCTATTTCTCATTTTCTAACTATCGCATCTTCGCGCTATTTATGTTGCACTAATGACTAATATTGTAATGGACCTTGATCGTCACTTTCAGAATCGAGAACTACTCAGCCATAGTAACGGTAAACAAATTGGGGTAGATACCACTTTATAATCTCGGATATAGATATTTATACCATGCAGTTGATTAAACGTTTGCAGTTCTCTCACCTAACGTGATTCTTCTTCGACAAGCATCGCCAAGTCCGTATACCAGACACGCTCACAGGAGAAGGTGAGTGACTATTCAGGAGTGGCCAGCATTATATGGACGCCAAAGTCCTCCAGCGTTCCCGCCAAATTATAGTGGCCATCACACATTTCATGAAATGGCGTAGTTCGCCGTGAACGTCGCGTCCAGCAGGTTACATGCCCGCTTCGTGGTCACGAGGATACATCACTGACTGCTATCACCTGGCTACGAAGGTATCGTTGCAGCAAACACTTTTTCTCACATCCAGAGCTGGAGTTCTCAGAGTTAGTCAATGATCAGCATCTTGTGGAACTTGTGGCTTACCAGTATCTCACTGTTGACGCGCAAGTCCGCTTAAATCAACTCGATTAAATACAAAAACTCGCTTGAGGACATTTGATAGAAAGGTTAAAGTGCAGTTTTTGACCGTGTGTCCTTTTGGCCGGTGACGCTGTACCACGTTAGGCGAGAATGCGAGTTCGGGTGCCACCTTCTCTTTCTCTCTCACGGTCAACCATTGCGTAGGCCCATCTACTCAACAAAAAATGGTGAGCCGACCATAGTCATCATTATCGCGCACGTTCACCTGGCGAACATTCACCTCTTCGTAAGGAGCGCCGTCGCACCCGTCGTTGTCGCCGTCGCCGCCACCCTCTCAGCGTAGGCGGCCTGCTGACCATCGTAGGGAGCGCTCCCCATCGCAGCGCCCCTCTCGTGTAGACCTTTCTCCTGCTCGCCCCCAGGATGGTTCGCCTAGGCGACCCATTTTTCAGGACCGTTACCGCCTCGCGTGTGCGATTCGTGAAGACATGGCCGAGCAGGAGCGACTCGCCTACGAGCGACAACACCATCAGTCGCCTGAGGAATCGCCAGAGAGAGGTGAGTTGGAGGAAGAGGAAGGGAGAGAGGAGTGATTCTTCACTCCTCCCTCGCTTCGCAATTCGTAGTTCGTAGTTAATGCAGTGAACGTAGTTCACGTTTCATTTTTCTTTCGTAGTTAAATGCAGTGTTAACATTTACTTCTTAGTAAATGATCATGTTTCGGACCGTAGTCCGTGTTATTACTTTTTAATTTTCTATTTACAGCGTAGCCAACGCAGTCGTAAGCCCTTGCTTAGGCAAGGCAACCAATTTGCTCACGTAGTGAGCGCTGCTACCTTCGGGTAGCCCCCCTGGGGAGCGGTGGGAGACCGCTATTAACTTTTTTCTTGTCCCTGGGTATTTCTTTTTTGCCTTTCCCTTAACTGGCCCGTGGGTTCTTTCGCTTAGCGAGGTAAAATTCTCCCCCTCGCACAAAATTATCCCCTTAGTGTGAGGCAAAACTCACACCGTAGGCACGGAATCCACCCGCAGTTGTCGATTCGTCTCGCCATCGAACATCGTTAACGTCACGTCATCAACATCACGTTATACGCCGAATCCAACTGTGCCGTCGCCTGCTTCTACTACGTCATGTCGAGTTATCCGCCGTCGTCAAGAACATCCAGTGGTTATCCGATAATGCCGTAGTCTACACTTCATCGTCGCTCCCGTCGATCGTAGTGTGTGTATATATTGTTGTATATTTGTATAGTTATGTAGGTAACATATTGTATAACTGAAGCAATGGCCCTGAAGCCGATCGTCAATTCCATCCCCACGAACCCTTGCCTTAGGCCCAGTAGGTCGTCCGTCGATTGACTGACTGTGTCTGTATTTCTAGTGGCGTAGTCGCCGAGGTAAGAACGAGGCGTGCAGTACCTAGCGTAGTCCAGGACCCATTCGTCTTCTTGCCGCCCCCAGTGTCGTGACTTTCGTACGACTCTTTTTAAAGGGTCGCGTTATGGGGCGCGCGGCGGTCCTGGCGCGCTTAGCGGCTACGGTCGAACACTCTGGAAGCCGCTAGGGATGCAGAGTCGGCGTCCGACTCTGGCTTCTCTCTCACTTCGACGTCTGCCGCCGTATCGACTGGTCGCTCCTTCGCTTGTCGCCTTGTGCCAACTTCACTATCCAACTACAATGGCAACACTTCAACATCCAGGAGCCGTACTCGACAGCAAGCAGCACTGCCTCCGGACGAAGACATCCCAGGTAACCACTGGAGGAGGAGGAGCACCCGAACCCCTTGGGCAGCCAAGGGTGAGGGTGTGTCCAAGGCCCCCAGTGGGCTGTACCCTCGTGGCCCGTAGGCAGTTCTCTGGCAGGGTTCGTTAGTAGGTTAGGGGTCGTACCTTACTTTTAGTAGTTTCCTTTTAGTAGTTTTCTTTTCTATTATTGTTGCTCACAGTATTTCGTAGAGTGGTAAACTTAATAATTACTTGTGTTTTGTCGTGTAGCAAGAGTGGTTGATCCACATCATTTCTCACATATTTATTCATCATAGTTTATCATAGTCCATAGTGTAGTTAATAATATACTAGTTGTTGACTTGGGTCATGCGTCACAAGTGCCATAGTATGCGCAGCCATAGGAGCGGAGTCCTTAGGTAGTGTGCGAGGGTAAGGCGTAGGTAGGAGGGTAGTTGGAGGTACATGTCCGTAGTGCGCACATAACGTAGGGGCAGTAAGGGCCTACAGGTAGCGTTTAGCTCCATAGCACCCGCGTGGCAACACCGTGGCGAGCATAGGCAAGCGCTCGTAAGTCCCCTGCAAACCCTCGCGCCGAGGACGGATCCTTTCCCCTCCAGACACCGATGCTACGTCAGAGGGGCCTGATGACCTGGTAAGACGCCAGGCGTGAGGGGAACAGGAAGCCGCCCCCGGCACGACATGGTGCATAAGCACTCAATGTACTACTAGTATGCTAAATCCTAAATTTATCTTTTAGATGGATTGAAGGCTTGTCAAAGGAGCTTTCAAAACGGCTTGTTGCGGATCAAGTGAAGGTGAGCTCTTGCGAAAAAGGACCTCCATTTCTCTGGGGCTCTTCAAAGAGTGGGGTATTGGCGGAATATTATTACTTCGCTCTTAATTCTTTGTTGCAGAATAAGCGTACAGCAGAGAATGTAGTGTTCGGCATTTTGAATGACAATCAAACTTCTAAAACCCTGAAGATTGCCTCCTACAGTCCTCAGGTGTTGGCTGAGATTATGTGGTCGGCAGCGAAGGCTTTCAACCGGGCTCCATCCGGGAGCGACCAATGGTAAACTTTATTTTTGTTTGCACCAATTATATACTCGCGAGCGCGAAATTCGTTTCAGGGATCCGCCTATTTATAATCTCTCAATGAGCGCTTCTCGATTTGTAGATGGCGTTAGTGCTCAAAACCAAAGCATTATGGAGTGGGTGGAGAAACGCCTCAAGTTGAGCGAAGCAGGTGATTTTCATTTTTCATGGATTAGGAGTTTCGGAGAGGAGATTATAGGTATAGGGGAATCGTATCACCAGCTGGAGCCTTCTTTCTGGCGTTACTTTGGCGCTCGAACCACATTTCACTTCTGAGTCAACTTCCATAAATATTTCACAAAGTTATTTCTGGTCTCAGGGAACAGTATGTTCGAGCCAGCGAACAATCCTGCGCCGGAGCCTCGAATATTCGTGAAAGGAGTGCTCAAACGGCCGACGGATAAAGTTAGTCGATATTCTCCTATTTCCTCAGCTACAGAGATGCTCAGATATCATAGGAAGTTGCTGGGCCATCTGGTGGCATGTCCTCTGCGAGCAATTCCCCAATCAAAACCACGCCTAAGAAGAAGAAACCTGATACGGAGGCTGAGGTCAAGGTAGATGAGGATGGTTGGCAGGTGCGTGCAAGTCTTTAGTATGATTCGTGGAAGCAAGTAGTCTATCTTGTTTTTAGGTGTATGACCCCGCTCTATTCGAAGCCCCATCCAATGCACTCCCTGCGGTGGAATTGAACGATATCGGTGAGATATCGTCAGCTGTCTTCCAAGAGCTTCCCGATAACATCAAAGCAGTATGTTTTTCATTTCATTGCTTTCATCGAAAAGTTTCATCTACTCTTGGCGATGGCGATTTAGCACCTCGCGTCAACTTCTAGTAGTTTAGTTCATTTTCGGAACCCCTTATATTTATAGCCATAGAAATTCTCAAGAGAATTCAAAATTTTGTATGCAAGTCTTGTTACGCAGCGTTGACATCCGAGTTCTCATCCAACCTTCGAGGAGTTGTTGCTAGGAGAGCCGATCAGGATCTCTTGAATGCAGAACCGCACAGAAGATAAACTAAGCGATAGGCAGGCTGGGAGGCGGGCAAGAGATTTCATGTGGACGGTTATAACTTATGTCTATTTTTGGTCATGCATTGTCTGTTCTCGACCAATACCACCTAAAATCGTCGTCATTAGCGGGCGCGACGTCGCACGCGACGCCACGACGCGGCGAATTACGATTCTCTTGCCACGTACCCAGGCAGGCTCACGCTTTGTCTATTGGAGGCACACCGCTTATGCACTCTTTATTTCGAGGAGATCTCTTTACCCAAAGATGAGTTTTATGCTGGCTGCTCTATTACTCTGAATTTCGATTCTCTACGCGGCGTTGTTGAACAGGATGACACTCTAGCATTTGTATGACAGAACACAGAGTACTAGGTCGGCAGTACTGACAAGGGAACCCCAACAGGTCGATCCGGCCATTTGCAGTGAGATGTATAAATATGGACGTGTCTTGAGCCGAATCCAAATCTGCCCTCCGATTTTGCGGAACGATCCTCCAAAGGGAGTTAAGGACCATTTAATCTTAGC